GCCTTGAAAGGGAATTTTGGCGAGCATTTGGGCTGCTGCTGCTGCTGCTGCTGCTGCAGCTGCCAGGCGCACACTTCAATTAAGTGCCGCATAAATGATGCATGCCGCACAAAGCCTGCACTACTCCTCAGCATGCTCGTAAATATAAACATTTGCCCGATCAAATATTCATTTTTCAATATCGTTGTATCAACACAAGCCTAAAATATGCAAGTCCTTTTCACAGGCCCACAATGAAGCCACTTGCCGCTTACCGAAGTGGGAATTCATCGAAACTTTCTTTGAATTTGATTTGCTGTAAACGAAACTGTCTCTGAGGTGGAGACTAGCATCCCTGCCACCCAGCCATCCATTTCCATTCTCGGTTGGCCCACATATCGGCATCAGCCACACAGACACAATGCTGGCGCACAAACACAAAGGAAATCGAGTCTCTTTGAGGCAGAATGATGCAATTATTCACACTTGATTAAACACTCAAGAAAAGTGAAAGTGCGTGGAAGGACGCACCCAGCGGCGATGCTCCTCTGCCTCTGGTTGTGTGTCTGCCTATACAAATATACTATATATTGATACATATAGCTATCCTCTCGACATTGAGATGTTTTTCTAAAATTCATAAATTTAAATTAGCAGCCAGAGCAGCCAGAGCAGCCAGAGGGAGAGCGATGAAGACGTCTCTCGTCTGTGAGTGGGTCCTCCTGGGTCTCACCTTGAAATGGCTTTTCAATTACTCAACTGAACCGCAAGGAGCCTCAAGTGAGCCGCAGAGCAGCAGCAGGACCGAGGGCCATTAAATTGATTTCCCTCTAAAAACGCAAAAGTGCCAACCAACCTCTCTGTCTCCGTCCGTCAGGCTTCAGTCCTTCTATCGCCATGTCTATGACGAGCCTCATTTGGCATCTTGCTTGATTTGCCCCATTTTTATGTATTCATTGAACTGCCTGCTGCCTCCTGTCTGCTGTCTAGCAGGAGGGCGGGCATCGCAGTTGCTCTCCACAACTGTCCAACATCTGACTAACCAAATCAATTCGCATCAATATCGTAGCAAACCCATCAAAGTCAGTCATCAGCGGGGTTGTTGGCAGCAGGAAGGGAAGGCAGCAATCATCTATGTATGTGGCATCCATCGTATCCTTCTTCTGGGGGGGGTCTGGTCTGGTCTGGTCTGGTCTGTGGATATTCTGCGTAGGAAGCACGCCAGGCTGCACATTGCTAATATCCTGCCACTGCCGGATCCCTCTTTCTCTCCACTTGCCATACAATAGATATCCTGATAATTGAAAATTCATTCTCGGCGTAAAATAGTTTGGGCCCGCCCGCCCTGCCTTTTGCAACTCTTGAAGGGCGCACACAAATATCATACTTTTCACATACTTTGCTTCTGGTGGGTAGCCCTTTGTATGTGCGGGCGCTGAACCATAGCAAGGGGCCATCTAATGGTGATGTTGAAACCCTAATAATAAATCTATGTGGCATGCTACCAATTACCACATGCTACGATACGATGCGCTGCGGACGCAGCGGGAGGGTCTTGTCGCCGATCCAGCGACTGGCGGGGTGTGGCGACTTCAAGTGCAACTGTTTGACAAGTGCCCCTGCCACAGCTCGGCTGCACCTTTTGCCACATGCTGGCGATCTGTATTTATAAACAGATGTTTATTTTTATGGCCTATGCTAAACAACATTCAGTCTCAGTTGTCAGTTTTCCGAGTATGTTTTCTCGTTGATTCCTTCGGCCCCTGCAGCTTCTGTCTATTTCGGGACACACGAGTAAATGCACTTGGAACGTGAATGCAGTTAAACAAAGGAAAGTTCTTTGTATCAGAGCAGCGAAAATGAAACGTTTCAAGTGCATCAACATGAGCCCGGGCTGTCAGCAGAATTTACACAATTTATTCTTGAATTTCGAAATATTCAAAACTAAATTGTAGTGCAGCAGCAGCTAGAAACTCTAACTTGAATCAACTTCTAATTGTATCAGCAAAGTGCAAATTAAATTTAGATAAATTAATCTCTCAGCTAAATTCAATTTCCTTTTTTTTAGGAGCATTACAAAATAAATACTGAGTGCCCTTTGGTCGAATTGGTGCCACAGTTTTAGATATTTGAGTTATAATTACGTCATTTAGGCCCACGCTGCCCGCGTACCCGTCCCCCCCTCTGCTCTTGAGACTCTGCTTCCACTTGTGGCCTGTGTGGATCGGTGTGGGTGGTGGCTGTGGCTGTCGCTTTTCAGTCGCTACCAAACTGGTTGCGACCATCGTCTCAAGGTGCCGCAGGGGCGTCGCATGGCCTGAGGGGACTGCGCGGGGGGGGGTTTCGCTCACAAAATTATAAACTGTCGCAGCCGCTGGCTGTGGCTTTAGTTTTGGCTTTGGCTTTGGCTTTGGCTTTGTTTCTGTTTTTGGCTCTCGTTAAGCCATCGACAAGTGGTAGCTGCTGCAAGGCAGTGTTGGCCAAACATGGGCGTTTCTTTTAGCTGTTTTTTGTTCAGTTTTCGCTGCCCACACTAAGCAGCTACGGAAACAGACAGTGGCCACCGGACCAGGGAGGGCTGAGCTGCCGAGCAATCTTTCAAAAGATTCGCTTTCTGGCTGGCACTCTCTGGGTCCGCAATTAACTTTTGCCAGCCAGAGAATGACAGCCGCTGCACAGAAAGTCACTTGCAGTCCGACTGTGGCACACACAGAGACAGAGACAGAGAGAGAGCGAGAGAGAGAGAGCCTTGAAGATGCTGCCTGCAGATTGTGGGCCCCTGGTGCTCGAGTGTGTGTGTGTGTGGGGCAAGATTATCTATTGAGATATGCTGCCAGCCCGCACTCTCCCTCTCTCTCTCTCTCGTTGCTCCATTGTGTGTGCCTAACACTTTGGCCGCCCCTTACAATGGAGCAGCCAAAGCAGTGCTCTTTCTCTGGTTGTGCGCCTCAAGTGGCAAAGCATTCCCCCGACCCTACCATGCCCTTCGGTTGATTCTTTTTTGCTATTGGTTTTGGGTTTGGTCAAGCGCTGTACTTGCTTCGTGGTATTGTCAATGCACTTCAGCACATTTGCCCAACTGTCAGAGACAAAAACGACAACTCGCGACGACTCTTGCCACCCCGTCACCCCCTCATATCTATTACGGAATGTTTGTCCTACACTTTTCCTGCTGCTGCTGCTGGCTGCCTTAGCTTTGGCTTCAGTTTGCTGCTGGCTGGCTGGCTGTTGTTGCCGTTTGCTGTTGCTGTTGCTCTGGTGGCACACATTTCTACGCTTTGACATACGCAACTTTTGTGCGTTTGGGGGGTGTCCTTGTGCTTGTTTGTTTGTTTTTGTTGTTGTTGGCCCTATGCTCCTCCTCGGATTCTGCCTACGACTCAGCCTGTGACTCGCTGACACTGCCACTGCCACCGGCCTGTCTGTCTGTTGACATATTATGATCCTTGATTATTTTGTGCTGACAAATACATGCTTTTCCTTTTCCCTTTTTCCCCACACACACACACACACACACAGATAGATGGACTTCCGTTTTCTGATTTTGATTTACTTGTTGTTGTTTTTGTTTTTGTTTGCTGCCATCCCCCAACCAGGAATGGGCTTACCAGCAGGTGCTTTTCCCTTCAATTAATTGGTCTAGAAGCTTTACCCTCCTCTGCCCCCTCCCTGCTTTGATCTGCCTCCTCTCAATGAGGCATTTAATGATGGGCGTTACACGCCCACAAAATATTGAGAAAAGACAAAAAAAAAAACGCCAAACTGTGGGCGTAGTCATCAAAATATTTTGTCGAAAATTATGTTCGATTGTTGGTTTCGTTTCGGATTTTGTCTCTGGATGTTTTGTGTGTGTGGCTTTTCTGGATTGAGGGGCGGAAGCTCTCGACATGCGAACAAGAAGCAAACCGATTGCCCGCCCCATGCCCAATGGCAACCCGTTTCAACCTGTTCGACGTTTAATGCGTTTGATTGCAGCGGAAGTTGTTCGCTGCTGGGGCAACTGCTGCTGGTCTAGTGCGGTGTACGTGTGTGTGTCCGGTTCTGGCTCGGCATGCTGTAGGTATAATTATTAATTAGCTTCCAATTCTGGTGGACCCGCCGCCCGCCCCCCCCCCCCCCCCCCCCCCCCGCCCCCCCCCCGCCCAC